AACCCATATATATTATAATTAAATGTAATAAAACTTTAAAACAAAAACGTCTTGAATTTGTATACAATATACGAAGAAACTTTTCCCCGGTCTTATATACTAACTAAAGGTGTAACAAAATAGTACTTAATAACTTAGGGAATGATTCTGCCCGTCAACATGAATATTTTTTATTATGGGATCATCTTCGAAATTTTCAATTTATACGTGATAAACCCATACTGCAGCTATATTACTGGTATAGTTGTAGCACGAATGGGTCAGCTCGACCGGGGAAGGACCACGCTCTCACAAAATACCAGTGTAAAATAGGAGCTTAACCCTGCTGTGTTTCATATGCTGAGTGTAGAGAACCGGATACCCTTTTTACTGGAAACGTGGCATTCCATCTTAGTCGTTAGGGGTTGCAACGCATAAAGATAAATATAAAGATATTTATTTTGTAAAACATGAGTATAAATATAAAGGTGTTAAAAAACTTAAAACGAGCTACATGTTTTGCCATTTATGGCGTACAAAAATTATACTTCATATTTCATTAGTTATATAAGATTAAAACTAATGCATCTGCATTTTGATTCTTAACCGAGGATAGATGTATATGTCTATGAGCCACAGCAACCACTTACCATCAGGTGGACTGAGTGCTCGTTTGTCACCCTGATCCTATAAAAAATATCTCAAAATCAGTTATTCCATACAAAATTTCGTACAAACTTGCTTAAAAAATGTATGGAAGACCTGATTTTTCTTGCGATTTGGAAGATAGATCTATAGTAAAAGTTGTTCATATTAAAAGCACTATTTTGATTACACCATATATATAACTATTTTTTTAAATAATTTGTGCATATTAGTTATGCATGTAAATAAAAAAATTAAACTGATAAAAAGGAGGCCTAATCATTTATATGTCATTTATTCAGAAGATAAACCTATACATAATATACACAAATATATTGATACATTCGTTATTAATAAACTATTCATTTTTAAGTATTTCTGGAATACATTCATAACTATGAACTTAACTACTAAGCCATAGCATAAAATAAAATTTCCCGTTAATCGGGTAATAGTTAGGCTGCTGGCATATACAATTTTTCACGCACACTAGGATCATGCAAATTGTCTTATACACACTACAATATTAAGATGCCGCAATCATGGAGCTTCCTTGCAGGAGCGCGGTATTTAGTCAGAGCGCGCGATGACTTATCATTAATCTATGCGAGTCAGTATTGAATTGGCGATACAAGCGAATACTTCAAAGCGATACAACTGTGAACCTAAGTGATCAGTAGAACAATTGTGTTTTATTATTAGGTGATCTTAAATTGTAATTAGTGTTCTGTAATTAAAGGTCAATTCTGGTAATTCACTCGGCATTTTTAGTTGTATTGAACCCCAAGCTCGTAACAATTGGTGTCAGAAGTGGGATCAAATCATGCCGATTTTACCAAAGGACGACATGCAGGGTATCCGTATCCGAAGTAAACGCCAGCTGGAAACGGACCAGAGACGATTTGGTAACGCAACGCCGCAAACGTCGGAGGGCCAGCTGCAGACCACGGAGGCTGGCCCTACATCTGCAGTACCTGACTTAGGTAGGAGGAGGAACAGCTCCTCCGACAGGAGGAACAGGTCCGTCGGTTGGAAGAGAAGCTGGAGCAAGGTATGGAAGAGCAGATGCTCTTCATGAAGGATCTTCACGCTACCTTCGGGAAAGAGATAGGGGAGGTGAAGGGTAGGGTTGCTCAACATTTAAACCGCTTGTCGGAAGCTGAAACCCGAATCGACCAAGTGAACAATCGGGTTGACAACGTGATGGCTGACGTGAGGAAAACGCTAGACGATCTCAAACTTGGGGATGGAATTACAGCTCCCGTGGTAGGTACAACACCTTCGCTATGTGGATTCAAAGTGCCACCGTTCAGCGGGACTTCTTCTTGGTCGGCCTACAAAATCCAGTTCGAGGCTGTCATGAAGGCGAACGGTTGGAATAAAAGTTAGGCCATGACTGCTCTCACCCTAGGCCTGAGCAACCAGACCTTAACTGTTCTGGAAGCTTTCGGTAAGGAAGTGACTTACGAGCACCTCCTTGAGGCATTGGAGGCGAAATATGGCGACGCTCACCTGGAACACGTCTTTCGTGCGCAGCTCAAAGATCGCGTGCAACGCAGCAACGAAAACCTGCAGCAGTGGGCCCTTGAGGTGGAGAAGCTGGTTCGGAAAGCATACCAGTCTGTACCTGCGCTCTTTGTAGGGAACCTGGTGCAGACATTCATCGACGGCATCCGCAACCTTGAAATCAGAGCTGCTGTGAGGCTCGGGTACCACGAGACGCTTAAGGACGCGATGGCCTATGCACTGGAGGTGGAAGCCGTGCGGCAGGATCATCGTTCCCATCGCGTCAGGGAGGTAGCAGCAGCTACAGTTCGCGACCACAATAAAGGATACAGCCCTAGGTGCTACGGCTGTGAGGAAAGGGGGCATCTTCGATCCAGCTGCCCTAAGCGAACTGTAGAAAGGGGAGCTGACCGATCTCGAGAGGGTAGTGCGTCTAACAGCACCGCCCAACAGCAGCAGGGAAACTGGCGGGGACTGGGGCGTTATTATGGGGTCAATAATGCTCGGGACGTGCATGTCTTAAGCGGGGGCAGTGTTGCGCGCCAATATTAATGTATTGTACATGGCACCACTAGTTACCATTAGCGCCCTCTAGTATCGACTAGCAGAACTAGGAGAGTCAAGATCCTTCTAGAAATATCGGGACCGATATGTACTCGAACATTCTAGATGTTTCTATAGTAGAAGGTTCTGGAAACTACCTGAGGCCCTATATAAGGCCGGTATAGACCGCGACCGAGTCAGTATTGAATTGGCGATACAAGCGAATACTTCAAAGCGATACAACTGCAAACTTAAGTGATCAGTAGAACAATTGTGTTTTATTATTAGGTGATCTTAAATTGTATTTAGTATTCTGTAATTAAAGGTCAATTTTGATAATTCACTCGGCAGTTTTAGTTGTCTCGAACCCCAAGCTCGTAACATTTGTTATATCAACATTTATTTTTAGTTGGTTACTTTCCATTCTATTTATTGTATTCTTAAATTGTTCCGTGGCTAATGATTGCAGTTCAGTTTTATTTTTACATTTTATAATAAGCGTTGTATTATCTGCCAATAATATGCACTTCTGATCAATTGCCTTTGATAGATCGTTTATGAAAGCAAGAAGAGTAATGGAGCAAGAATCGATCCTTGTGGTTTACCGCAATTATTATTTATTAGCTCAGATTTAAAAGTAACTTTCATGCTGTTTTATTTCTTAGTTTATCAATTCCCGTGTGTTGTTTGCGATTTGATAAATAGCTCCTTATTCAGTCACATGCTTTCCCTCTTATACCGTAGTTTCAAGCTTTTTGAGTAAAAGTTTGTAGCTAACATGGTCAATTGCTTTGCTCATGTCTATAAATATAGATGCCACGGACATTTTGTTATTTAGTGATTCAACATTTTTTTTTATTAAAAGGAAACACGCTAATGTCGTTGAGCTGTTTTTTTTTTAAAACCAAATTGATATGATAATATATTAAAAATTACTAACATTTAAATAAAATCTAAATAGTTACTAATTTTTATTAGCATAGCATTCTCAAAAACTTTCGTAAGTATCAGTACAAGCATTATTGGCCTGTAGTTACAAGCATAAGCATCATATTAGTCTGTGGTAGTTACCTATATAAGTACGATCACCCTTTTTATGCAGCGTTGTTACCAGTTGTTACGATAGAAGCGTTCCGGGAAAACATCTTGCTCAAACGATCTATTTACAAGTGTGGAAAGTAGAGCTGCTATGTAGTGAGCAATTATTTTTATTATGTTTGTATTCTTTATAACTTTCTAGGATTTAATATTCATCATAATATCGCTTTCATTAACAGCCGTAAGAAATATACTCTGCTTCATTTTTAGTGTATTGTAGTGAGTCATGTATCCATAGTCATTGTCTTTTTTTGGTATTGTGAAATTAGTAAAATAATTCTTAAATATTAATAAGATTCAATAGGTTATTATAAAAAAATGTTATTATTTTTTAATTCTTTAATTATTTTGCGTCACTAGTTAATTTTGTTTAAATTATATTCCATAATGCCTTACTCCATATTGTTTTTTTCACGCATAGAAACCTCGAGTATAGCCGTTTCCATAGCTCGCTGAGCGACTTTGAGTTTTCTCATACAGCCAGCAGTGAAGGACATATAGGACCTGTATAGGACAATTACTATACTCTTTGATCATGTCTCAGATCCACGGAAGTTTGTACATGCTCAGATCCTTCGGTCATCACTGGCAAAACGCACTGGTTGTACAATTTATTATTATGTTCAGTTCAAAAATGGAAATTTTGACATCAAAGACGCACCTGCAATTCAGTGGCCGTCCTGTTGAATACGATGAACCGCGTTCTTTCCCGATTTGGTACCAACGGATTTCCACCTCTTTCTATTTCTTGCAAATGCTTTTGAGTAAAAATAATAAACAAAATTATTTTCGTATGACAGCCACTATACACAGATACTATACTTTTTGTCGATAGATTGTAACGAGGGCATCCACGACTTTTTCTGCCGCCCGGGCGGCCCCATTTAAAAGTGAGGTATAATATTAGACAGATTTCATAGCAGGGAAGTTAATTTGGTCAGAAAATGTAAAGGTTAATGTTTCTTTCTGTACTATTAGCTATAATTTCCTCCAGTGTCAAAAACCTCAGTGTCAGCTAGCGACATCTGGTGTACAGAAAATTATTAGTCCTCATTAATCATCAGTTAAGGCTGTATGGTGGAAGACCTTTATCTGTCTTAATTGACAACCATAACTAGAAATAGAAATACTCTTGTCACTCTTATTTATTAATTTCCTTTTTATGCTGTACATCCGCCATTGCGGTCGCTCGTGAAGGCGCATTGTGGATGAAAAGTTATTAATTCAAAATGGGTCATGCAAATATCTGGTATTCTCACCCCCGTAGATACGGCCAAGGATCTCGTTCATGGTATGTATATTTTTATCAATATATTTTATATTATCTTAAGTTGAAACAAGGTTATGTTAAACACGTGTTTTATTATAATTTATTATTTAATATATAATATAATATTTCCAGTCGAGCCTGCTCTAACAGACATGGACTTATTCGGAAATACGGCTTGAACATATGCAGACAGTGCTTTAGGGAATATGCTCATGACATCGGTTTCAAAAAGGTAAAAGTTCTTGTGAACTGCTTTACTTTTTGTTATTGTTTTAATTTTAATAGTTACTAACGAATGTTGTTTATCGTTTACCCCATAAGTATTCGATGTTGGGTTGAAAACAAACCTTTTTAAAAATCAGCCTTTTCTAATTACTTCGTGAAAGTGGCAAGTGCAGTCTCGCTACAACACTGAAATACTTAATTTATGCAAATCTATACGTTTTAAGTAGTGTAATTTTATATTATGTTGTAAATCATTGTTTTCTTTCGCCATAAATTGTTGTAAACAATGTTTGCGAAGCGCGAGAGGTTCGGCTTTAGTGTGAACTTGACAAAGCTACGCTACCAGCTCTCATCATTCAGGTTTTTTTCTTTTAGTAATATACTACAGTAGGCATGGGTCCGATATATCAAAACGTAACTGAAAACTGTTACACATATTGAAACATATCATATCAATATGCTGCTCAGACAATGGTTTTTACAATAGCAAAATTTGTGTAATATTTATATTGCTGAAGTCATAGCTTCTGTGCATACTCTCAATAATAATTTTAAATAAAAGCTGTTCTAGAGATTGTGTGCTCTATTTATACTAAAACAATTAAACATTTCGTGAAAATTTTTGCTTATTTTCTTGAAGAGTGCCAGGCATAACTTAAGGTGTGTTGGGGTAATACCGGACAGATTTTCGACTAGTTGAAAGAGTCTGGCAAAAACTTTATTTTCTCGACATCCGTATACGTCACACTTCTGGAACATCGTGCAAATCATTAATGGTTAAATGTAGTTTAGCTATGAGAATCTTTTGCATTTGTAAACTAAACGGTTTCTGCTTTAAACATGTGTGAAGACAAGACATACTTTTTTATATGCATGTTGAAGAATTTGCCATCAAGGGTAAGACCGGACTTAAATTTAAAGCCACTTCTACTGCTTAGAGAACAAAGTTAATAAAAGAGATTTGTCATATGTTTAACTCTCAAAAACATTTGAATATGATCTATAAATTACTAGAAACATATATGTTCCAAACGGTTTTCTCTTTTTTTGTTTCTTGGCATCCGATCTTATCCCTGATATAAAGAAATTGTAATTTTATGGTTCTCAAACTTTGTTATGACATTAGATGGAATTATTCACTATAAGGGAAAGATCGGATGCATTTGACTTTTTTACCGGGTAAGAAAATTGTATTTACAATTATATTTATAAAATATATTACAATCTAAATTTTTTAAATATAATGTAACAGTAAAGACTGGCGAAATGTCCTTGGGCAATACACGAGTAGACAAAGATTTACCTAAGCCTCATATATGGAAGCAGGTTGTAGTTGGTTAATTGATAGATTATTTAGTGTCCAAATTTGTGTGTGTTAATCAGCAGGCGTGAACCTATTTGTAGAGTTAATTAGAATCAGAATATGGGCATGAAGTCAGAAAAAGTAAAGCAAAGTGGACTAGACCAGGAAAAGGAACGTGGGGTGAAAGTTTCCCGTGAAACTGAATTAGTTTTGTTTATGTAATGAGATGAGATAAACATTATCTTGTAAGTTTTGTAGTCTTTGAATAGCAATTTAGGGCTTTTTGTTTGAAGCATCTGTGGATAAAATGTTACTGTAAGTAATGCGGCCGCAGCACTGAGCGCATCACAGCATAAACTAGTGCAAATATATCGGCATCTCACAAAATATATAGGTAGACAACTAAGTTTCGAAGATTAGTTCTAAATAAGTTTTGTAATTATCAGTTGTTGTAAGCTATTGAATAAATGAATAGCTAAGTAAGCTGGTAACATTTAATAAAAATGAAATATTCCAGTAAGACATAAGTTAGCAGCATATTAACAGTTCCGAAAATTCTAATTTTTGAGGTCGTTCATCCACCATATTGTTGCGAAATGCGAAGAATTATCAATGTTTTTAATGTGTATTTAAAAGTAATAAAACCATTCTAAAAATTAAGCTCAATTAGGTTCGTTAAAGCACAATAGATTTGATAGCGCTACTGAGTCCCGTAGACACTTGAGTAATCTTCGAAAGAATATACACGACAAATGAAAGTTTAACAATCACTGCCATATTTGTAACGGGTAAAGATAGGATAAAATTCATCCGATCTTTACTCGTGTGGGGAAATATCGGATCTCGGTCTACAGCGATCTTAGCCCACTTTGAATCATTTTTATCTGGCTGTAACTTCAAAAAACTTAGTGTTCAGACAAAATAATAACAATAGAAGCTATATTCTCGCTAAAAATCACAAATAAAAGTGATAGGAAAAGACTGGATGGACAAAAAAAAATACAAAAATTATCTTGTTTTATAAAATGCCACTTAGCATGCGTCCTACTTCCCCTAGCGAATGGCGGGAACTTGGGGTCGGGGCAGAATGAAATTGCGTCGTATACCATATTGCTAGCATTTAAAAATATAGCATAATTTGTCGGAAATTTCAATCTTACGGTCTTGCCCCATCACCGATCTTACCCCAATGCACCTTATGACTTTAACTTCAGCAAATCTTGTTGGTGTGATAGTTGTATTACTGTTATGGAATGATCTTTTACTATGAAAATATATATTATGCTAGTTGACCAGGCAGACGTTGTTCTGCCCTTTCCAACGACCCTTCCTATAAAAATTCTTAAATTACGATAAAATACGTAATAAAAAATTTTGAGGGTCATTTATCAGGATAAAAACTATCCTATCTCTCAAGTTGGACCAAAATGCACACAGTGTGCAAAATTTCATTGAAATCAGTTCAGTAGTTTAGGGAGTCCACAGCGGACAAACAACGTGACACGTAATTTTTATATATAAAGATTATATTATTACTATTGAATTAATATATTTAAAGGTACTGACATATAATAAAATAAAATAAATAATTATTTTACCACAAACCAAGATATATTTTGCCATATAAATAAACAGTTAAATTTATCAATATTAGTTTTGGATGTATTGCTGGTGCCTGTGATCAAGTAAGGAAAAGCCTGTAATACAGATGACTAGATCCTCACCACTTTGAGGATGCTTTAAGTGTATCTAAGGAGCATATACAGTAACATTTTATTTACAAAATATAGTATTATGAGTATGTATCTTAGGAAAAGTTTAAAAATTTTAAATAAAGATTTAAAAATACTATTATGACATTGGCCAGTATATACCCTAATTTTGTTGACATTAAAATGATGGTAACTTTGCAGTACAGTACATTATATCATTCATTATAGAAAAGCTTTATAGCATACAATGTAATGTACTATTAAGTGACTATCATATGGATGTATTCATTTTCACATTTGTTCTTGTATTATTTAAGTCATGTATCAATTATGCTTTAACTTTCTCTCCTTTTAAGCATTTTTAATTACGAGGGTGGATTGAAAAGTACTCGGCCTAACACAGATCCATTCAATTCTAAAAATCAAATCTACCCACATTATTTAGTTCAGTTCAGACTAGTTCATTGTGTGAAGTTCGAAACGTGTGCGATAATTAGTTGTGATTTTATAAATTTATTAACAAAGTAATCGGACATAATTTCCGCGAATGGAGCAAATCGAGCAGCGTGCCGTCATTAAGTACCTCCATAAGAAGGGGCTATCATCAAAAGCCATCCATGATGACATGGTCAGTACATTAGGCGATTGTGCTCTGTCATATTCATCCGCCAAAAAATGGATAGCAGAATTTAAGCGTGGTAGAGAGAGTGTGAAAGATGAACCCCGCTCTGGAAGGCCTTCGACGTCAACTACTGACGAAAATATTAAAAAAGTACTTGATTTAATAATGGGAGACCGCAGATTAAAAATTAGAGAGATAGCCGAGATTATAGGCATCTCTTATGAACGAACTCAAAACATCATTGTCAACGAGTTGGGTTTCCACAAGGTGTCTGCGAGGTGGGTTCCGCGACTGCTTTCAGTTGAACAAAAAAGGACGCGATTGACTATTTCACGCGACTGTTTGGAGTTATTTGAAGCCGATGCAGATGATTTTTTGAATCGTTTTGTTACTATGGACGAAACATGGGTTCATTACTGTACACCGGAAACAAAACAACAATCAAAACAGTGGAGAAGACCTGGTTCACCACCCCCTAAAAAGGCTAAGTCGATTTTGTCGGCAAATAAGGTGATGGCTTCAGTATTCTGGGACTCGAAAGGTGTGATAATGATTGATTATCTTGAAAGGGGTCAGAATATAAACTCTGATTACTACTGCACCTTACTACGTCGTTTACGAGAGGAAATAAAAGAAAAACGTCGAGGAATGCTCAGAAGAAAAGTCCTGTTTCATCAAGATAACGCCCGTGTTAACACGTCAGTACAGTCAATGGCTAAAATTCACAACTGTGGCTTTGAACTGTTACCGCATCCGCCGTATTCACCTGATCTGGCACCATCAGACTTCTTTCTGTTCCCTAACCTAAAAAAGCACTTGGGAGGTCAAAGATTTTCGACAAACGACGAGGTCAAAGCAGCTGTAGATGCATATTTTGACTCTAAGGAAGAATCATTTTTTTTCAACGGTCTAAATGCTTGGAAGGGGAGGTGGCAAAAGTGTATTGAACTTGATGGTGATTATGTAGAAAAATAAAAATATAACTGATTTAGTATTTGTTTATTTTCTTGGTTAGGCCGAGTACTTTTCAATCCACCCTCGTAACTGGATTAATTATTTCTTTTGTTGAACCAGGTATTAACTTGTTTATTTTATATTATTAAATAGTGCTATAGATGGGAGATGTGATACTAATTAGACATGTCCTTCCATTGTGGGGATTAATCATTTTGCAATAATTTTAAGTCCAAATATCATGGAAATCTTGTAGCATGTCATATTGTGGTATAACAATTTCTTTAATGCCAAACCATGGAACCATAGATCAGGGAAGTTTATACCCAAACCATGATGTGGTTCATTGGTTATAAGTTATATACAATCCAAATATTCCTTAGATTTGCATGTAGGATGTTAAAAACCAGTAAATACCATTCTTAAAAAAATAACCTTTTATTTTTTCTTTTGTTTCAGCTGGACTAAATGGTTGATTTCCTAGGTTAATAAAAATTAAAAACAAATTTTAGTTTTATTTATTAACCCAAAGTAAACAATATTTTAATATATACATTTATTTATTTCTAAGACATACAAAAGTATAAAACATAAATTACACATCTTCTTATTATTGCATAGTAATGAATTCTTATTTCTCATTATTGCAGCTTCGAAGTTTTTATCCAAACCTCTGAAAAATAAAAAAGTGCTTTATTAATCTGAAGTACATATATTAATAATTTGTGAAAAGCATTTTTAATTAATTGCATAACATAAGATTCTGTAGCTTGTGCCTCCATGGTAGGTTTTTTGCTAAAATTTCATAGATAGTGAAGTCTTATTTACCATCTCAAGCTTCACCAACACTTACCACCAGGTGGGATAGGTAGTAAAATTTATAATTCAAATAGGGGGGAGGCCGATCCCGCTCACTACTGTCAATGCACGAGGAAAACACAGCGATAAAACCATGGTGACCCCTGCAACGTTATCCGTGGACGTAGTCCCCTGATGTGGCGACATCAGGTGACTTCACTCGAACCTTAAAGCCATCCACTACCATCTGGAGTCTGCGAAGACGGGCTCTGACCGAGAAGCAGGTGTCCTCTCCGGCTGATAATTCGTACCCGTCATACTCGGGGTAGAAATTAGAACACTTCTTTGTGCCGCTAACTGGAGTTTACGTATACGTCAGAGAGGATATCGACGACTCTGCAGTCTTGAAGGTACGGATCTGTCCATCCTTTGGCTGCGCGTAGACAGCGACGACCATCCCCGCGTCGACGGGTGCATCTATAGGTCCCATATCGGTAATGCCGACACAGACTCTTCGACTACATTTAAATGACTACAGATTTCTTGCTACAACTGATCTCATCTGTAGAGATCGTGATACTTGGCGACTTTAAGGCCGGCTACATACATAGGAAATTCCGAACGCAGCGAGTTCATATAAAATCTATGACCCGTCACACGTACGGTACTTTTCCGTTCGAATTTTGCGGGCAAAACGAGATTCCGTATGTGTGTGGCCGACTTATGTCCACCACGCCGAATGGCTCTGTTCACGTTTAACCGATTATGCGGGAGATCTGTTTTTGACTTTGCCTTGGCATATGGTCTGACACATTTTGCTACTTCGCCTACGCGGATTCTAGATGTGGAGTATCATATATGTTCCCTGTTGGACCTTCTGCTGACATCTCATCCGGACGGATATCATCTGGTTTCCGTCGACGCCCCTGTCAGCTCTTCGGACCATTGTCTGATCCGGAGTGTGGTACCACTCACGCTCCCTTCGCGGTTGCGTTCTGCAGGCTGCTACCGTGTTTGGCGTTACGAGTCGACGGATTGGGATGGAATGCGATCTTTCTTTGTATCCTACCCATTGGGGCGAGTTTGCTTCTCGCCGGATGAATTCAGCACTGTTGCTGACTCTGTCACTGATGTGGTGTTACAGGAAATGAAACTATTTATTCCATCTGTGGTACCCATTGGAGGCAGATTTCAGCTTTGGTTTGGTCGCTCCTGTAAGACTGCATTACGCAGTAAGCAGAAATGTTATCAGGCCTGGGCTGACGCCTCGGCGGCTAAATACCAGCATACTTAAAAAGAAGTATAACTTCGCCTCTAGGTTCTTCAAAAGAGTTATTGCCTTGGAACCTGTGCATTCTAGTCTCACGCCAAGGCTGTTCAAGGGAGTTTCTATAAGCCATCACTACCGTCTCTACACAGGGAGGACGATTCACTGGCCCACGCCGCAAAAGAGAAAGCCGACCTTTTAAGCTCCCTTTTTGCGTCCAACTCGACTCGATGACGAGGGAACACATCGCCGACCATCCCGCAGTGTGAGTGCGCTTTGCCTAATGTGCGATTCACACAGTGCTCTGTACGCAGAGCACTCTTCACCCTGGACATCTACAAGTAGAGTGGGCCTGACGGGATCCCGCTAATTGTGCTAAGGACGTGCGCTCCAGAGTTGGCACTGGTTCCGGTACTCGTGCTCCCTAGATGTCCCAAATTCATGGAAAACAGCTTTCGTGCACCCGATCCCTAAAAAAGGTAACCGGTCTGATCCGTCCAACTACAGGCCTATCGCCATCACCTTGTTCTCGAAAATAATTCGAGTCCATTATTAACTGCCAGCTCATGCGGAGCATTGAAGGAGCATCAGCTAATTAGTGACCGCCGGTACGGTCTCCGTCGGGGACGCTTAGCTGGTGATCTTATTTACCTAACACACAGATGGGTGCAGGCGATCGAGTCCAAGGAGGAGGCTTTGGCGGTTAGTTTGGACATAACGAGGCCTTCGATCGGCTGGTGTTCCACAAGGCTGCGTGCTATCACCAACGCTGTTTCTTCTGCATATCAGTGATATGTTGTAAACATTCATTGCTATGCGGATGACAGCACTGATGATGCTTTATACACCATCCGCGCCAATATTTCTCGGGAAAACGTCGCCGACTACCGGAACAAACTTGTGTCTGAGGTCGAGACTTTGTTGAACAAAATCTCGGATTGGGGACAACTGAATCTAATCCAGTTTAATCCTCAGAAGACACAAGTTTGCGCGTTTACCGCTAAAAAGAACCCCTTTGTCGTGTCTCCTCAATTTCAGAGCACTCTCCTCGTTGCCTAGTCAGTATCGGAATCCTCGGCGTCGACATATCGAATGACGTGCAGTTTCGTGGTTACTTGGAAGAGAAGGCCAAATTGGTCTCTAAAAAGCTTTGCGTGCTGAGCAGAGCGGGACAGTTTTTCATGCTGGGTGTGCCCCTGCAACTTTACAGTGAGTAGTGCTCAGAGGAATTGTCGGGACTAATTCCAGCCACTCAATTTCACCATCGCACATCGCGACATAACTCTAAATACCATGCGTACCATCTGGATGATTGGCGGTCCACTACTGTGCGATTTAGAATAAGTCTTCTTCCTCGCACAACTTCCTTGTGGAATCGAATACTACCAGCAATTTTTCCGGACCGATACAACTTAGGGACCTTCAAGAAAAGAGCCTACTCTTTTAAAAGGCCTGCAACGCATCTGCAATTCCCCTGGTGTTGCAGTTGCGACATAGTCACCATCAGGTGAGCCGTATGCTTGTTTGCCCCCTCTCATATAAAAAAAAACCAATGGCCCACCTATTACACGATTATAAATTTGGATTTTTAAAATAATTTTACCTGTGTGACCCCTGCGAGTAGGGAAAAAAGACTCCGTTGAGGAGGCCTGCAGTGCTTCTTTCCACCTTCGGCACAACACAGATTGGGGAAACAGTCTACACTAGAACTGCACCGTTGTGGAAACGGATCGTATTGAGGCGGCGGAGTACATTGTAAGTACTGTTCAAATGACCGGAGGGCTGGAAAGAGAAAAGATATTTGCTGAACTCTGTTACTCCATAAAAAAATTTGAAAGTAGTGACACAAGATATTTTAATCATTCCGTATTTCTTTTATAAGTCAAATGAAGAAATGTTAATTTTTAGTATTTTTTTCTCAAATGAGATGCACCCATTTGATATGCAGACGAAGCTCTCATGACTGACTGTCATGACTTGATGGATTTTTCGCAGTTAGTTAAACTGCGAAAAATCCATCAAGAACACAATATCAAAATTTTAATAGATTACGGTCTAATGATTATGAATACGCATTACAAGTACTTCTAAGATATCGGTAATGCCCAATCTTGCCCTGAGTGCCATCTGGCTCATTCTTGGAAGCACCATGTCTATCGGCGGACTAAAAAAAGCTAATTACGCTAATACCTATTTACTTATTATTAGTTTGTGAAGATCATGATGAATTAAAAAAAAATTATAGATAGAAAAGGAGGCGCATCACAAAATAGTGTTGTCATTTCATATTGTGTTAAGTATTATTCTCAAATCCATACTAGATGTGGCGACATTAGTTTGAAACACTAGTTCTACAGTTGGCAGAATATCTTGTTCAGTAGAAAGTGTTTTCTTTTCTCACTAGCTCAACCTAACCTAAAGGAAGGCTGGGTTGGTGTATTCTGTTCTGCTCTGACCCTCAGAAATATACTTAGCTTACTTCTTGTCATGTGGTGGCAACACTGATGCGCGAAAATTTGGGGAACCTGATTCAGACCCTGTTTCCATCTGTCGTTTCTACACCTACGGGACTTTATTGGGTAGTGGATATTCTTAGTTCTTACATGCCCTCTTAGTAGTCTGTGGTTCTTACACATCCACTAGACTAGACAATTATTAATTTTATACCTAAATCGTTGATATCCCTTAATACGAATACTTGAATAAAAAAACATGCATCCTTGCCCTTAGATCATTTATCCCATTACTTTCGTATTGAAACAAAGTATAATGAGTAGGTATAACCCCTGGGAATAAGGTGATCGCTACCATGCTGTTTCTAAATGCTTTCATAACAATTTGTAAAAATATTATATTGTAAGTTATGCTTTAAAAAAAGTCCCGCTGGGTTTCTTGCTGGTTCTTCCCAGGACAGAGGTTATTTTTCCAAATCGGTGGGTGGGTATAACATAAAAATGATTTTTAATAAGAATTACATGTAATCAATATTGAATAAAAATGATTATATTCTTATTCTATCAAGAAAAAGAACATTTTTTTATATAATAAAAGGGTGACTATGTTTATCCTGTGGCCCATTAATCACTTACCTTACTTACATTTATCATTAGATTCTAATTCAAAGCTATAAGTTTTAGATTAGGTACTAGTTTGTTCTTGGGTTCTATCGTTCTTTTAAAACAATTCTCGCGTGACAAAAGTTTGTTCCTAAAAAGTGTTACCCGGAACCGCAAAGAATCACGGGACTTTCGAGAGTATGGGTGTAATATGATAGAAATGGATCATTTGACTACGGCGCTATTGGTAGCAGCTCATGCAAGTAATAGACATGGTCGGTGCTAAGGCTGAGATCTATTGATCGTACTTTGACTTTGCTCAGACTTAGCTTACGAAAAACGTAGCTGAGTGTTTTTTTGAGCACACAGACCACCTGATGGTAAGTGATTGCTGTGACCCATAGACATCTACATTTATCCTCAATAAAGAATCAAAATGCAGATACGTCGATACCCGTGAGGACTAAGATGGAATGCCTCTTTTCCTGTAAAATAGGTCTCCGGTTCTCTACACTCACCATACGAAAAACAGCAATGTCAAGCTGCCATTTTACGCTGGTATTCTGTGAGAACGTGGTCCTTCCCCGGTTTGTGCTACAACGATATTACTAATATAGCTGCAACATGGCTCTACCACGTAAAAAATGAGTATATGCTAAGCATAATCTTTGATTCTGAATTTATAGTTGTATCGGGCTAAGATAAGCTTATGCTAAGGCCCAGACAGTCAAAATATTAATGGATCCTTCATTCCACGGATTATGTTTTTGACTTTACTGTATAAAATTAAAAAATATATATATTTAAAATCAAAATTACCGTAAAAAATTAAAAAAAAATAATATATATTTAAAATCGAAAACATAACATAATTTATTATTACATGAAATAGAAAACGGGCGTATGAGAACGGGATCGGAAGAATGCAAAATCAAAAAAAGAAGAAAAGATTTTAAGAAATTCGAAATAAGATTGAAATTAGGTAAATAAAAAATGGATTTATGCTATTTAAAACTAGAAGACGGCCTAAAACTACCTATTTATTATTATAATTAATAAGAGTAACATAAAAACAACAATTTAAAATTAATACGGTGGTTTTGAATAATATCTCAGTTTACTTAGTCGTTGACTTAGGCTTTGCTAAGCGCTCTCTCAACACGACTTCGATATTGGCTCTATAAATTCTACCGACATTTTCTTAACTCGAAAGTAAAGTCTGAGCAAAGTCAAAGTACGCTCTATAGATCTCAGGCAACTCGCAATCGTCCAGTGATTTTGTGCCTACCTAGGAAAATACGTGGTAAAGCCATACTGCATGAATTGGCTGGCTCGACCGAGAACGGAGCACGCTCTCACAGAATACCAACGTGAAATTGCAGTTTAATACTGCTGTGTTTCGTATGGTGAGTGTTGAGTACCTGAGACCCTTTTCCTAGGAACGATTTTAGACATTCCATCTTAGTGCTCAGGGGTGACAACGCACTTACCATCCGCTGGACTGTGTGCTATAAAAAATCAAAATAAATAGAATGTAGAATTCTGTAATGCAAATATTACAATAAAGTACCACCAGAGAAACTTACGTCCATCAACAGCATTGGCCACTGGTACGAGGTCCAGTCTCGCGCGCGCAGTGCGACAGTAGGAGCGCGTTCCGTCGGGACAGCACACGCGAGGCCAGCAGTCTGCGTCCGACTTGCACGTCTGCACTTCGAACAATAACTCGCCTAGCGGTGTCGATGGGCATTCCCGCGGGATAACGCCTAGAAGTGCTGTAATTTTTTAATTTTTGTTATTTAAATACCTTGACAGAAATTGTTTGATAAATATCAGGAAGATCTTAGGCCTCTTGTAGATTAGATGCTAAGTGTATTTTAGGTTTAGCAATTAATGATTCAAGTAACAGCGGTACCGTTGGGCACATACGCGGGATTTTTAGTGTTCATTATTTAAATACATTGACGGGAATTGCTTAATAAGTATCTGGAAGATCTTAGACTTCTTCCAGATTAGATGCTAAGTGATTTTTTGGTTTAACTATTAATGATACAATTAAATAATTATTACCAAATCTGTCAAAGGCAACAATTTATTTATTATGAACACAATGGGGAAGTAAGGCTGACAGGCCGTTATCGCCGAATAGTAGGTTAATCATCCTAGGACATTTGTCTTAGTACACCCACTTAGGATAGGCTGATGGATTTCTTACACCGCCTCCACTCGACAAACTGATACGAACAAGGTAGTTATGTAATAATCCTTACGTTGATGTGATTTTTGCACGCTTGGTCGTGGAGCTGGTTCACCCTTTACACAGCGTCCTTGACAACACACTTGATCTGGACCGCTGCTGGCGCGACACTGTGAATTGGTTTCGCAAGGGATTGGAAACAACACCACTGGCGCTGGTTTCTTGGGGCATACGAATTTCTGACCCTTACCTGCGTTAGAAATTAAAATCATAAAATTTTATCAAATATTGTTTAGTTTTAGATTAAAAATATGTACATCAATTTTAAACATAGAGCAACAAAGTCTACCGGCCGACCGGAGGGGAAATCAATATGGCCACCATAGTGGGAGAACACTAAGTCTAAACAACACGACAGTTAATAAAGTAGTTTTTTAATTTAAAAAGAAGTAAATAGGAATAATGTGATTCAAAATTATTTAAATATTAAATTAAAATATAACGCTACGTTTTTTGTAAATTTGACGTGGCAGACAGATCTCTTTTTGAAGCATTTTTGTAGACCGTCGATTCAGCCACGCAACTAGATTTAGTCGAGTGAGCAGGGGCAGGGCTGCAACTAGTTTTATAGTACGTGTACGCATAGGACCGCGTTGACTTATACTTTGACAGAGGGGAACGCCTACGTAGGCTACTCCCCTCTGATCCGCTGGTGACACATGTTGCTCTATGATTTAAAATAAATATGCATTATTTTCGTCAATATATTTAATATAATCTTTTTAATTTGCTACATATTTTAATGATAGAGAGCTTAGTTAAACAAAATGTTTGTAAGACGTAAGTAGCAATGAAATAAGGAATTACACAATTCTTAATTGCTGTAAATGAGTTAAGTTAGTATAGCGCATCAGAGGGCAATTAAATAGATGTCTATTTATTTACGAAATAATAAAATAGGTTATTTCTGCATATATTAATGGAAAATAGATATATAAGAATAAAGTTTTCGACGAAGGGACCAAAATTTTAACAATTTTTTTTGTGGCAAAATATTTTGATAACGTGATCATGTGAAGTCCACCAGCACCAGTACTGGAGCATAATAAGTCATAAATTACTCACAAAATACAGAAGTATTAAGTGCATAAAGGATACCTCACAGCCTATAGTTATATGTACTAGCTTTGGTAATCTTCGAAATAGAACATATATAAGTGAGTGCTTTACTGGTTGTGACTACAGAAATATGTAAGAGAATGTTGTCTATTAAGAATGGACTGCTAGGCAGGACAAATCAGAAAAACCCTGTCATCACAACTTATCAAGGGCTTACGTTTTATTTTTAATTTGCTAAATTCATAATGAAATTAAAAACGTTCCCGGTATTGTCCATCCTTGCTCCTTTTAGGTTTTAAGCGTTGAATTTGGAATTTTAAATAATATAAAATAATATATCTAAATAATAACTACTTGATTTCATGACATAAATAATTAAAATTATTACAAATAAGTATAACAGTTGGTGTATAAATAGATTGCAAAAAATTACGCAGCAATCTTAACTATAACATGTTTATTGTACTTTTATTACAAAGTGCGTTATAAAAACCTTTTTTAACTTCTGTCTAATGCTATTTTAAACATAGGTATTAATGGATTAGTTGATTGAAAACCGCATCAAAATAGTTTACAATTTTATAATAGCTTTCATCCCATATGTTTCTCCTTAGGGGTGGAGTAGGTATACAAAAATCTTTAAACACGTGTTACGTAGTTTCTAATCGAAAACTTATAATAGTTTTTTTTTAAACTTACCTCCACAATTAGATTTTCTCCTGTATCGGGGAGGCAGTTTACATACATAAATTTCACAAGGACAAACATCTAGGCCTGGAACAATTATTTGTAGGCCATACAAATACTTGTTCAGTGCGGGATTCGAACCCGCGGCCCTTAGCGCAGCAACTCATTGCTAAGCTACTGCGCCACGGAGCCGTCAATAATAAATATAATTAAAACATAATAGCATAGATAAGGTAATACATAATAATTTCAAACAATCTTTTATCTTCAATTTTACCCCGTTTCAAAGATACTGGTATCTCTTAGTTTTCAACCTAAAACCTAAATACAAATTATCATTTATTTTACTTAAAAATTTACGTAAGTATATATTTTTAACAAAATCTCATTTCATGTATCTCTTGGAGGTGGAATGTAGACTCATTTCTTGGAGGTGGAATTTCCAAAAAATTTAGAAAAATCTGAGTTTTACTTTATAAAACCAAAAGTAAGTAAAGTGAAGGAAACTTACCAACTTTGGCAGGTGCTGAAGACGAGGCTGGTGTGTTTTGTATCGGCAGCAGCTGGAAGAACGGCCGCGGCGCTTCAGTCGTTGTTGTCGTCGTTGTCGTTGTTGGCGCTGGTGTGGTCGTGGTGGTTGTTGAACTGGTGGTACTTGGAGTTGTAGTCGTGGTCGTAGTCGTGGTGGTTGTGCTTGTGGTAGTACTAGGGGTGCTTGTGCTGGTGCTACTTGTAACGCTAATCAACTCGACTACACTACTGCCCAACTCTTCACTAGCTCTACAACATACGTAAATGAATTCGAATGGTTTGAGAAAACAGTGTAAAGAAGATTAGGTGAATGGAAAGTGAATGATGTGCGTACTTATGAATGATCAGCGACTGAAGCGGACTTCAGTTAATGCACCTCGAGGCCCAGCCCGCAAAGAAGCCGTTATTCATAGATTAATGATAGGTCATCGCGCGCTCTGACGCGAAGACCTATCATTAATCTAAGCCTATATTATTTTGTGAATAACATTTTATTAAATAAGAAGTTACTCGTGAGATATAAATGTAGGTTTATCTTTTTTTTTCTTTTTTTTTTTATAGGATCGGGTGACAAACGAGCACACAGTCCACCTGATGGTAAGTGGTTACTGTGACCCATAGACATCTACATCTATCGTCAATAAAGACTCAAGATGCAGATGCGTTGTCACCCGTGAGGACTAAGATGGAATGCCTCTTTGCCAGTAAAAAGGGTCTCCGGTTCTCTACACTCACCATACGAAACACAGCAGCGTTAAGCTGCTATTTTACGCTGGTTTTCTGTGAGAGCGTGGTCCTTCCCCGGTCGAGCCGACCCATTCGTGCGCAACCATAATATAGCTGCAGCATGGCTCTACCACGTAAATCAATCAATGCACAAAAATCTTTCATTGAAAAAACTCCTTTATTACTTTGTCTTTATTTTACACTGAAACCTCAATCGATTTTGCAAATATATATCTATACATTTAACCGTCCTTACCCAAGACGACACGTGCCTACTAAACATAAATTATCCGCTGACTAGTGATTCCTTATTCTAACGGTTTGGTAAAAAGCCATTTCTGGTCATGACCCTCTCCCGTCGCGTCGTAGTCCTTTATCGTCCCGCTTGGAGACGGATTGACGATTTCATTAGAAGACGGTTTGCGCATTTTACGTCGTCTTATACGTGTGGCGTAAACGAGACGGTATGTCACCATCTTTCTGAAGCCAATAGAATTATCTTTTTCTGGTGTTTCCTGCGCGAAATCCTCCCCATATACGATTCTTTTAACACTAGACGAAATGGGATGACGAATTCTTACACCGCCACGGCAATAATAGATAACTATTATATTTAACTAAGTTTCATCCGAGATTTCTTGATATACAACTCTGTGTAAAAAATTCGCTGAATGAGCTAAAGGCCATACCGCAAATAGCCTATGAAAAATGTATGGAAGACTGGGTGAAGCGTTGGAGATGTTGTATTGCAAGCGATGGGGCCTACTTTGAAGGCGATAAAATAAATTTAGATGAATAATTTGTATTTTTTGTTTTATTGACAAATTCCCGATATTTAGTACACAGAATGTAGGTATTTTAGTTAAACAGCGTCGACAAGCTGGGGCTCCACGGACTTTCATGTAAGAAAAGTGCTGGTAGGTTTTCACGGCACGGTTCTTTGAACGATGTCATCCGAAGGCCTCTTGTCTCTATAAATATTCCGTCGGTTTTAGAGCCTTGTTGAATATTTAGTGACAATGGCGAGGGACTCGACGGTATGACATTGGTCCTTTGGGAGAGAGGTAAAGCCCTAGTGTGGGATGCTACTTGCGTAGACACTCTGGCGGCCTTTCATCTCAGGGGTACCTCGTTTAGAGCCGGGGCTGCATCAGAGGCAGCTGAAACGAGTAAGTGGTGCAAATATAAGTCTCTGAGAGATGACTACATATTTGTGCCATTTGCTGTAGAGACTATCGGTCCGTGGGTCCACGTGCGGTGAAGTTCCTAAAGGAACTCCATCCGCGGCTGGTCGTTGCGGCTGGTGATAAGAGGGCTGGTTTTTTTCTCGCTCAAAGGCTAAGTATAGCCATTCAGCGGGGAAACGCAGCCAGCGTTCTTGGCACGATACCACGGGGAGTAGGACTGTATGATATTTAAGTTACTAGTTTTAGTTTTTTTTTATTATTATAGTTTTTTGATAAAAGGCAAGTTTGTAAAATTTATAAATCATATTTAAGGATGCTTAAACAATATTTATGGAATTTCCCATCTGTTTTTATATTTATTTTATAATGTTTATTTATTTTATAATTTAAATTCGGACTAAATACAAATATATTTGCATTAATAAGCCAGAAAAAGTAAGTTTATTATTATGTAAATAAAATATCTTTATTATATTTGTTTTATTTCCTCATACACTTCTTAATTACTTTTACTTTTAACAACCATAACTCACTATTTCTTGTATTCCTACCATTAATTACTATTCTCTTTGCATTACTCTGCGGCAAAATTACATTACATAGTGATATATGTTACTAGCTGACCCGGCAAACGTTGTTTTGCCATATACCTACATTATTTCGGAAAGGAAATATTTTTTAGTTTTAAAAATCGCGATTATAAACAGGGGTTGATCGTATAAGGGTGAAAATTTGAGGTTTTATGTATTTTTAATGCTAAATCATAATAAAATAAAAATAAAAAATTGTCAAAAAAAAACCCCACGATTATTATTACTCTAAGAGCATCCACTTACTTTACTCTGTGCCTAACAGGTGTATAGTCTGTTCGCTTAGATACGGTCGCCTTGGCACGTGTCGCATCTTGTCAAAGGAGCCACCGCGACATCTAAGGTCGCCGCGTGCGGCATCCAATCGCAGGAGAATTTGGCACTTTAAAATGAAGACGTTCTGTTTGCTATCTAACTTGTGTTTATTATTTATATTCGTATTTTATTACAACTGCTATAAAAATGAAATAGTATCTATTCTATTTTATTCTTTGAATTAAAAAAAAATTAAAGCGTTTCGTCTATCTTTCTTTGTTGGTCTAAGAATTTAGCTAAAAACTAGAAGATATGATGTCATTAGAACTGATTGATGGACAGAAAAAAGGATTCCTAAAATGACAGCGTCTCTCAAGCTTTTTTAAATCTTTCAGAAAGGCGACTTAGTGCACTTTCTAAGATTGAGAATTTAACATTTGTGTTTCATACCAATATTTTATCTTCTTAATATATACAAATTTATGTTTGTTTGTTCATATTTTATGCGCTGCCATACCGTTCATCAGATTGCGGTAATACTTTGTCAACTTACTGCTTGCACTTGTGCAATGGTTATAGGCATAGCACAACTAACTTACAATACTGGACGGCTCCGTGGCGCAGTGGCTTAGCAATCAGTTGTTGCGCTGGGGGCTGCGGGTTCGAATCCCGCACGGAACAAGTATTTGTATGGCCTACAAATAATTGTTCCGGGTCTGGATGTTTGTCCTTGTGCAATTTATGTTTGTAAACTGCCTCCACGACACAGGAGAAAATCCTAGTGTGGGGGTAACGTTTTAAAAAAAAAAAAAAAAAAATAGGTGGCGCGCATATCGTACCGAGAAATTTATTTGAAAGTTATATATCATTTAACTTCAATGAATGTATTATCATTCCTAATTAAACAATATAATTCTTTCAAATTTAAAACGATATTTCCACAGTATTTCCTCTGCGGCAGCAACGCGCTACCAGCTAGAGTAATATAAAAAAAATTTAGAACGTTAAATTAATTTAAAGACAGTGGTTAGTTATTAGATGCACGATTTATTGCATATACAAGTTAAAAGGATTTAAAATATAGATGAAGTGTTATATATGCATTGACTGATTAACTGAGAGCTACTAGTAGTATGTTTACTACTTAGCTAGTAATATTGAAATAGAAGAGTTCAACGTTACAAAAGGTCATCGCTATCGCTATCCCAAATTAATTTATTATGAAATTTTATCGCAAGCCGCGATGGCCTAACAGATAGATTTGACCCCGAATCAAGCTTCTCACTTTTACATATACTTATATCTAGCGCTCATTTATTGTAACATACAAAAGGAAAATTTATTAAATTCTTAGATGAATGAAAAATATGACGTATACCTATCGTGAGCGACATGCTTTAGATGGCTTAGCATTTTAGACCCTCTACTTATGCGCTATATCGATAAAAATAAGAAGAGTGACGAACGAGCACACAGACCACCTGATGGGAAGTGGATGCTGTGGCCCATAGACATTTACATTTGTCCTCGGTTAAGAATCAAAATGCAGATGTGTTGCTAGTTGCTACCCCTGAGGACTAAAATGGAATGCTTTGTTTCCAGTAAAAAGAGTTTTTAAGAGCAGCTTTAAGCTGCTATTTTACGCTGGTATTCTCGTGATCCGTCTACTCGTACGGTGGAGCCTACACATTCGTGTTATAACCATAACATTGCTGCAACTCAAAAACTTATAAAACTACTCTTTTGCTACCGGAAGGCTAAACTCGGCTGTCTTACATAATAAGTAGCTTTTTCCTTCACTACTTATTTACAATCAGTGTCGTAATACATCGTGGTGAAATGGCGAAAGTTAAAGATCTTTATGTCATAAAATAATTAAAAAGTAATTGAATTAAACTAATTTTAATGCTTTAAACTCATGTGGTCACGGGAAGAATGATGTGTTCAATATGCTTATGACACGAGTAGCCCTTTCAGCTTTTAAAATTTTACTTAGGTATCTACTAATTATGGACCGATGTACAAAGTATCTTGATTTCCTGCACAGTGCTTGCCTTATATTCCATATTGAAATTAAAATGTTTTTGATTTCGACAGTCTCACAAAATAAATTCGGCAGGAATGTTCTTCGATTCGTGGTCTACCAAATCTTATGTAGGTACACTAAATATGTTCACGGACTGCAGACTTCCGGAGTCTAGGCGTTTTCTTACGGAATATCAGTTATATGTTTTCACGCAGGTTTTACTACCTAATTTTATTATCCACCCTTTTTAAGCGATATTGTTCACCCTCTGTAAGGGAGGCCACATTAAGAAAACTGATGTCTTGTACTTTTCCTTCTTCTATCTGCTTTTGTTAAGCGAAGTCAGTGCGCTTTAGCTGTTCCGGCTTCGTCGCCGGTTACCGGATGGGGTAGTAGTCAAACATTGACTTAAACGTGAAAAACATGTATGTATGTGTACATGTATGATGGAGGTTTACAAACCTGATATTAAACTACTGTGTACAATGTAAAAGCTTGTTAACACTTGACTGGTGATAATAACTAATTAATCTACTTCGCCGTTTTGTAGAACATTCCTTTTAAAGCCCGCTTTAAGATAAAGTAAATTTAGTCTGTGATTTCTCTGAAATTCGAACGTTCCACTGATAAATACAGGTCTCTCATTATTGAGGAGGCAAGAGTTATACATATTAAAATGTAATGTCTTATTATACATCCTTTAAATCATTTACGAGTAGGTAGGTATGTATGGTAGGTAGGTAAAGTATGTTTTTAAAAATAAAGTTTTAAGCACATAAAAAATAAAAATGAACGTTGTTTTGTATCTTCAAATCTCTACAAATAAATAAAATTGAAGTGTCTGTTTGTAATGTTGAAATAACAGCTTTTTACTAAATGCATAAATGAAGAATATATTATATACGGTGCTTATAACAAAAAACATTTATTTTTAATTTGTCTGTTTGTTTGTTTCAGCTAATCTCCATAAGGGCTGAACCTATTTTGACGGGACTTACACTGGCAGATGATTTTATAAGGAGTAACTTAGGCTACTTTTATTTTAGAAACAGAATTAGAGTTCCGCGCATATAAATTAAAACCAATGAAATCCAATCGCAATAAATTTCACGCGGATGAAGTCGCGGGAAACAACTAGTCTTAAATAAATTTTAGTCTAACCTATATATTTTTAGGAATTACAAAGCTGAATGCTGATGATAAGGCTGGTGTGTAATTATTGCAAAGCGTTAACAATAAAAGCTATTCAAATAACTAGAAGATAACATATTGTCAAGACGTTAACAGCGTAGGTACTAACCGAATAGCAGATGACTTCCTTACACCTTTTGTACAGAAACCTTTGCAGCAAAGATGCTGCGATCCCATCACAAGACACTCTTCATGCTTTCTGCAGGGCAGAGGGAATAGATCCAGCCAGCCACTACTCGTGCGCACTTTAGGACAGGACAACGACTGGGACTCGCCTGTAGAAAGAAATAATATGGTTACTGTTGTTAGCGTATCAACGGCCATTTTAATCGATTTATTCTAAGAACATTTACCGACGTTGAGGCTTGCTAACGCGCATTACAATTCATGAATAGATGTTGCGTTTTTTGAAATAATAAAACGTGGTAGAGCCATGCTGCAGCTATATTACTGGTATAGTTGTAGTACGAATGGGTCGGCTCGACCGGGGAAGGACCACGCTCTCACAGAATACCAGCGTAAAATAGCATCTTAACACTGCCGTGTTTCGTATGGTGAGTGTAGAGAACCGGAGACCCTTTTTACTGGTAACGAGGCATTCCATCTTATTCCTCACGGGTAACAACACATCTGCATTTTGATTCGCAAACCACTTACCATCAGGTGGACTGTATGCTCGTTTGTCACCCTATCCTATAAAAACCTACTTTATGGAGTTTCAAAATTTGTAGTACCTACATCTCATTTTTCATCATGTTCAATCTACATCCTTTGTCGGGTCACCAAAAGCACCTCAAACAATCCGAGGAGATCATTTTGCATAATAGTAACTTTTAACAAAAAGTAAAAACCGACTTCGAATTGCTAATAAAGAAGTTATTTATTTTCTACCCTTAGAGGTGAGATTTTTTCTCCAAATTTACTGGAACCACCCTTGAGGTATAACCTATTTAAAAAAAAGAAACATTAAAATCAGTTCTCAATCTCCGTAGATAGGTACCTTATGAAATTCCTTAAACAATAGTCCAATATAAAACTTTTTCCCCTACTTTCCAGCCTTGACTACGGAATTTTTCCTTCGAAATTTAATGAATCTTTGAGGTAAAAGCTATTTAATAAGAAAAGAATCATTAAAATCGGTTCACAATCTGCGAAGATATCGCATAACATACATACAAAAAACATACACGCGAATTGTGAACCTCCTCGTTCATAAAGTTGGTTAAAAAATGTAAATAGCTTAGGTCATATAAGTTACTTGGATATTCGAATATGCCTATAATTTTGCCGTCTAACATCCCTGTCAATCAAAAGGTTCTACAACAATAGCACCGCGCGCGCTCATAAGCACCGCCGAAGCACGTTTATCAAAAGAACCGCCCGAATGTGAGCAGATTTAAGCAGCGTGTGGCTTGTGAGACTTCTGATAAATAAAGACCGATCTGGGAGTAGCAAGACGACGTTCTTGTCTTATATTTATATGTCGTCCAGGTTTCGGTTCCGTACGCTGCTACTCTATGGTACGCTGAGTATGCACGCATGGTATACCAATATTTAGGTTGTAGATGTTAGACATTGTTCTACATTAAGCGAGAGAATGCTCGTCCCTGTCGAACATAAATAGCAAAACAAAAGGGTGCCATGTATGACTGGTTTTTCTGCTGTCCGTTGAAGAAATATAACGTTTTTTTGGCATTAATAGATAAAGAAAACAGATGTAGTGCATGCGAGAATTTGTCCATAATCTGAAGCTCACGGGGAGCCGTTGCGATAAAAGCGACATTATCGGAAAATTGAAGGATGTCTTCACGGTGATGATTTGACCACGAGAGGGAGATATTTTTTTTTAAAATAACGTTACCTCCACATAGGATTTTCTGCTGTATCGTGGAGGCAGTTTACATACATAAATTTCACAAGGACAAACATCCAGACCCGGAACAATTATTTGTAGCCCATACAAATACTTGTTCCGTGCGGGATTCGAACCCGCGGCACTTAGCGCAGCAACTTATGGCTAAGCCACTGCGTCACGGAGCCGTTAAGATATTGTAGATTGTAAAGTCCTTGTGTAAAGTTTGATAGCCTGTTGGTCGTCACCGAAAGCTGCTGTATATACACTATTTTGGATTAAGTTATTGGAAACGAGCACCTAGGATTGTAACTTCTAGCCTAGACGACGCCGGTTCCTCTTAAGTCTCGAGTATGTTATGAGTAAACTAGTAATTTAATTTATGTTTACCTAACGATATTTTTCTTGTTAAGCACTGCTGGTTACTTCATAGTCTACTAATACTTTCACGACTGCGTTGTGATCATAAAAGTTGGCCGTTTTTCCTTGACCACACGTAATTACTGTCGTGTAATTATAAGTTGAATATTTATTGTACTGTAATTTACTTGTATTTGTAATTGTTACGTTGTCAACGTTTATATTTCTAACTCAAACTAGCGATCCGCCCCGGTTTCGCACGGGTGATTTCTGGATCTCGACAACAGCGCTGCCTACCGGATCCAGATGTGAATCTAAACCATCTACCTTTCGAACATATACAAAAGTTTCATCAAAATCGGTCGAGCCGTTATTCAGATTTAGCGAGACTAACGGACAGCAATTGATTCTTATATATAGAGGTAACATTAACAGTTTTATCAAATGATAGATGGAACAAAAATATACATGTCATAAAATATCTTTGTCGTTATCTATGAAATGTTGTTTTCGAATTTGAAGTTACATATATATCAGATAATATTTCGGCCCAGATCATAACTGGTCGCAAACACTGGTCATATTTATATCACTTTTTACATATGATAAAATTGCCTTTTATTAAATAAATTATTTTAAACGTTTTTTTATTTTTTATTTTATTTTATGATGGTTATGAGTATGCTTACATACTGATCTGATGACTAGTCGTAGTAGAAGAAGTTCTGCGTTGTGCAGATCTGAAAATTGAATTATGTATGCAGTATCGAGCTTTGGTACGAAGAGTTGTCAGATCAGAATAATATATTATGTTATACGTGGATGTATGTGTGTGAGCACGCATTTAGACACTTCGGTGGTTTTCCGCTTGAAGGCGCTAACTTTCGCTGTTGCTTCAAATCTAATTGAGAGAGCACTCTATTTTTTTTACGAGTAGTGTCCGACCGAAACAGGAATTTCAACCGAAAACGAACCTTCGGTCTGGGTGTCAGTTTCGGCCGAAACAGAAACCGATACCGAAACTTATTTAGACATGTTAATTTTTTTTTGTTGTATGCTGAAATCTGGTATATTTTTTATACATATAAATATAGGTAATGCATGTTAATAAAAAACAGTAATTGTAATAGTCATGTAGCAATATATTTATTTATTTTAAAGTAAAAATCAACAATTTAACGTTAAGAAATACATTTTAAGTCAATTTTATAAAAAAATCAAGACTTCATCTATAAAAAGTTACTCGCTAATTGAGAACATATTTTATTGTGTTCCCAATATTGTTAATATTATTCAATGTGAGCATTAAATCAATTTATCACACTCACACACTTACACACAATATACACACAACTTAAAAAAATATGCAAAACCTGCTCAAAGTTCAAAAACTTTAATAAAATAAGTTTGTATAAAAAGGGTTTCAGGGGAATTCATGGATGATAATAACCCCTGGGAATGAGCTGATCACTACCAAGCTATTTCTAATTTGTTTTGTGTTGTTAATTGTGTTACATACTTGATTGTAAGCAGTGGCGTAGGTAGGCGTGGGCAAAGTGGGGCCTCGCCTATTGCCTCGCACTTAAAGGGGCCTCGCGAGGCCCCGTAAAATGCGATGCCCCCAGACTTTACCACAGATGACTAATTCATTTGATCACTTTTACGCTCGAAAAAGAAAATCTAAAATTTAAGTGGGTTTGTTTGGGGCCTCGCAAGAAGCCCCTCTTAAGTACGACTGCGAGGCCGTTGTAACTACCTTCAAAGACTGCGACTGTTACATTGACGGAATACGAGACTTGCCAGGAATTAATAGATATGAGTAGGTATGTCGTGTCAAAGCATGCTTGGTAGAGGATAGATCTATTGGGTAGATCCTTGGAACGAAAGAAAAGGGAACTTCGCCCACGTTTATGTTAGTCCACGCTACGCCTCTGATTGTAAGCGGTTATTTAAAAAAAAGTCCCGCTGGGTTTCTTGCTGGTTCTTCCAAGGACAGAGGCTTTTTTTGAACCAGCGGTAATTAAACATAAAAAGTGACTTTCAATAAGTATTATTTATAATCTATATTGAATAAAAAAGTTTCTGTTTCTATTTCTGTATAATTATCTATATATAATACATGAGTCACGAATTCATCCGAACGACGCACTATAATCCACGAACACTGAGTTTCGGCGCCGCCGAAGGCTCGACAGATTTTTTGCCGAAACCGAAACTATTACCGAAACTAGATTTTTGCCGAAACTTGCCGAAACCGAAACCGAAACCGAATCTTCGGTCGGTCACAAAATTTTTTTTTAGATAATCTACCCTATTGGGCGAACAATTGAAGTTGAAAGATCTTGTGCCAGCATTACGAAGTCGCTGGCATTTTCATTATCAATGATGTCTAATCAAAAGTCATTGTTTGATGTGTAGTAGTATTCCCGGTTAGCACACGTACTTATTTATATACTTTTTGCTGGTTAGAAAAAAAGTATAAAAAGACATAAGCTAAAGTGAAACATATAAGTGTTGAGTATTGACAAATTGCCATTAAAAGTAAAAGCAGCAAAATATTATTAGCTTTCTCGATCAAACATTACTATTTCGGCTGAGTGTACCGTCTAGATATACAACGATTGGTGTTCAGATTTTTTTTATCAATAATTATGGTGGTGACAGAAGACGTGGATCTGCCATCGTGTAGCGAGCTGACGGTACCTGAGGTTAATTTGTCGACTGCTACACTAATGAGCGCCGGGCCATATTTCGGAAAGGATTGCGAAGCCATTAATAACGAGTTCATGTTATGTCGTTACGAGTTGGATGACCCTCGAGCTTGTGTTAATCTCGGCAAAAAAGTCACATCGTGCACGATGAAGTTTTTCAAAAAAGTGAAGGAGAACTGCTTGGAAGAGTTCAATCAATACGTTAATTGTGTAGACAAGAGTTCAGGGAATTTTTCGTTTAGCAAGTGTCGTACAACGCAAACGGTGTTTGATGGATGCATGAAGGATAAACTAAATATGGAAAGACCGGATTTTGGGTATTTTACTCGACCGCGTGTACACTGCAGCCCCAGTCCCGCACCCGAGTCGCCACCGTGTCCATGCTACCAAAAATTTCCGGATGCTACACCATCTCTACCTGATTGGAAACCACGTCCACCAGCACGCTTCGGCAGTCGTTTTTATTGGATGACTGAATAATAAAAAATAAGAAATTTATGTTGTGATTGATTATAATGGCTTTTCAATACAATAGTATGCTCAGTCTTGGTGGACTTTTTTTTTATAGGATATGGGTGACAAGCGAGCACACAATCCACCTGATGGTAAGTGGTTACTGTTGCCCATAGACATCTACATCTATCTTCGATTATGAATCAAAATGCAGATGCGTTGTCACCCGTGAGGACTAAGATGGAATGCCTCGTTTCAGTAAAAAGGGTCTCCGGTTCTCTACACTCACCATACGAAACTCAGTAGCGTTAAGCTGCTATTTTACGCTGGTATTCTGTGAGAGCGTGGTCCTTCCCCGGTCGAGCCGACCCATTCGTGCTACAACCATAATATAGCTGCAGCATGGCTCTACCACGTCTAACCCTACATATTATAACTTTCTTTTATTAACGCAAGCTTGTTAAAAAAAAGCAGTGATAAATATTATGCTGAACATTAATTAAACCTATGCCGCAAAAACAATTATATTTGCTTGTTTCCTATTGTACAGGGATAGGTTTTGTTTTAATTGAACAATCCTTCAATTTCTATAAACGATATACTGTTTATTTATTTACTATTTATTGACACACCAAGAAATTACAAATACCAAACTACGAATTGTCTGTCTGTGTGAAAAAGTAAAAAACAGGCATCACTTCATTTATTCATTGAATAAGATTGATAAGAAATTAATATTTTATCATTGATGATTTATAGCGTAGCGTGAAATTCTAGGTCTATGTATTTTATAGACAATTTTACATGATTACAAAAAAAAACAACGTAATTTGCATAAAAAGAAAAGCAACACCGTATCAAAATATAACGGCATTTTAACTTATTGCAATGAGTACTGTAATAAATTAGATATACTTATTTGAAACATGCTGTTTGTTATATTCAATGCACATGCGCCAGACAGGGGACTGGTGAAGCAAGTAACATAAAAGTAAATTAAACATTAAGGACAGCGCCTGTACTTACTAGATTTCTACTAGTTTTCCATCCCGTCACTCCACATATATTAAATCTAATTTTCTCGTGAGAATAAGGCAATTTTCTTGCGGTAAAAGGTCCTTTCCTCAGGATGCAGTCACTGTAACTAATTGCCTTATTGAAAGATAACAGACAGTCTGAGTTCTTTCGCATTTATAGTATTAGCTATGTGTATAAATATATTTTTTTAATATTTTTTTTTTTATACAAGACACTTTTCATATAATAATTTGTCACCTCAGTCACATTATAATATCATTGCTGACCATACTTTGACACTTATATAATACGTTCTGTACAGCTGCAGGTCTCCTAGCGTCTTAATCATCTATCTCAAGAGGTAATCTGTGAACAGCACTGTGTCTTAATGTTACTGTACTATCTGTATGTAATATATATATATATATATATATATATATATATATATATATATATATATATATATATATATATATATATATATATATATATATAGCCGTTCCACTTTGAATAAATAAAATAAAATATTTTTAAATATTCATTTATACGTTAATTCGTTATTATCAAGTATTTCAGTTATGGTTTGTTGTAACTAATGGAATTAGAGGTAGAGAGCTCAAGCAATTTAAATCCTTTGAATCGGAGCCAGTAAATCAACAAAAACGAAAGGCACTAAATAATTCTCATCTTATTTTCACAATGCATATTAACTTTATACCAAAAATAAGAAGTAACAAGTAAAATACTTGCGGCAAAAAAAATAGCAGCTTAATGCTGCTGTGTTTCATATGGTGAGTTTAGAGAACCGGAGACCCTTTTTACTGAAAAAAGGGCATTACATCTTAGTCCTCACGGGTGACAACGCATCTGCATTTTGATTCGTAAATGAGAATAGATGTACATGTCTATGAGCCACAGCAACCACTTACCATCAGGTGGACTGTGTGCTCGCTTGTCATACTTATCCCATAAAAAATATATACAATCTAGAGCAACATAAATATTGATAAATTGATCATTTATATCGAAAATTAAGAAATAAACCAGTGAATTCATTATCAGTAATAACAAACTATCAAGTAATATAAAGCTGAACATTTTTTTATAGTATATAGTATAGGGTATATTATATAGGTATATATAGGGTATAGTATAGTATAGGGTGACAAACGAGCACACAGTCCACCTGATGGTAAGTGGTTGCTGTGGCCCATAGACATCTACATTTTTTCCTCGATTACGAATCAAAATGTAGATGCGTTGTCACCTGTGAGGACTAAGATGGAATGCCTCGTTTCCAGTAAAAAGGGTCTCCGGTTCTCTACACTCACCATACGAAACACAGCAGCATTAAGCTGCTATTTTACGCTGGTATTCTGTGAGAGAGGGGTCCTTCCCCGTCGAGCCGACCCATTCGTGCTACAACTATACCAGAAATATAGCTGCAGCATGGCTCTACCACGTATAAATATAAACATAGGAATTCTTTTATGAAAATAATAAATTTCAATGAAATAATTTGTTATAAACTATCTGGTACCCGGCGCATTGCTGCCGCTGCTGAGAACGTGGTAAATCACACTTCAAATTACAATTAACATATATGTAACAATATATAATGCATATGTACTATGAAATTTACATTTGGATCAGTTTGATTACCGCTTTTGACAAGTAAAATAAAATAAACCTTTGTTTAAGTAAAATCTTTTTCTTTGATATTTAAAGTATTTTTTCGCGACAGCCTGTTCATTTACATATCTCATGTGAGCTATGAAACCAGGACTGTCACAAAAATCTTGAATTGTCTGATAATTTGAAAGCTCAAAAATGCAAAAACTTAAATGTCAAATTGATTTATAAGTCTCATTAAAGGTACAAAAAGGGGTCCTCATTACTATAGTGTTTATGGGCAGAAAAAAGTATGCCGCAATCCTTCAACTACTACTCAGACATTTAGGTTTGCCCACGAAGTTATTTTTCACCACTTTACCGGATATGTAGTAAATCAGCACGTAAAATTTCCCATAACAGATTCATTTGTCCTCAAAGGAATCGTACACGTTTTGCTCCCATGCCATGATGAAATCTCACGGCGAGTTACACGGCTCTCGTATTTCTTTAAATAAAATTCATAAAAACTGAAACAAAGCTTTTGTACAATTGTTGACCATGTCTACCTAGTTATTAAAAACCCAACGATGCTACGAACTATTCCATCAAATATAGATAAAATCAAACAGTGCATTTTATTATATATATTTGCAATTATTTACATCAGATAACGTGATAACATATGAAGTTGGTAAAATGAAACCTATGCCTATAGACAAACAATATATTATACTAAAGAGCTACTCTTCTAATCTCAGTTTTGTGTACACAGAACTGGATACTGTGCACACAAAACACGTGTTGTGTATAACAGTGTTGTTAGCCATATTGCCAAACGTGGTAATTGTAGTAAATCATCCCGATAATGGCCACCGGTCTAGATATTTTTAAGTGTGACAATTTTTGATGCTGCACGAATAAGTATTTTTTTTTATATAGGATTAAGTATTCAGTAGCATTCTAAAATTTAATTTTATCACTTATTTATCATTAGTTTTTTTAGCAGAAAGTAGAGGGCGCTAAATTATATTAATACTATGAAAGTCAAAAGTTCAAAACTATACTATTTACTGGAAACGAGGCATTCCATCTTAGTCTTCACGGGTGACAACGCATCTGCATTTTGATTTGCAGACGTGGATAGATGTAGATGTCTATGGGCCACAGCAACCATTTTTCAGGTGGACTGTGTGCTCGTTTGTCACCCTTATACTATATAAAAAGAAACAAAAAAAAACAAGTTTCAGTATATTAACGGTATGGCAGCACATAAAATACTAACAAACAAACATTATTTTTTAAACAACTTCAAAAAGGAGGAGGTACTCAATTCGACTGTATTTTTTGTGTGTTTTTTTATGTATGTGTGTTACCTCATAATTTTTTTCTATATGAACCGATTTTGGTGATTCTTTTTTTATTTGAAAGCTGGTACTTCTCATGTGGTCCCACAAATACCTAATCACAGACAGGAAGCGTCTTTATATAATAAGGGTGACAAACGGGCACACAGTGCACCTGATGGTAAATGGATACTATGGCCCATAGACTTCTATATACTATCTTTAATATAGAAGAAGAATAAAAGTATATGAATCAAAATGCAGATGCGTTGTCACCCCTAAGGACTGAGATGGAATACCTCGTTTCCAGTAAAATAGGGTCCCCGGTTCTCTACACTCACCGTACAAAACACAGCGGCGTCATAGTTGCGAGATGTCTGACACTGTGATCGTTAATCCGCCTGCCTAGTGCGGGAATTAAAGCAAATACTCCCTATAACTTATCCAGCAGTGGACTTCTACGAGCTTATGAATAATGAAGAAATTACGTCATCATCATCGTCATTACAGCCCTTCACAAGTCCACTGCTGAACGTAGGCCTCATCCAAGGAATGCCTCAAAGCACGCTCCTGAGCCACCTGCTTCCATCGAATTCCTGCATGTCTTACCAGATCGTCACTCCATCTAGTGGGAGGGTCGCCCTACACTTCCCCTACCAGTACAAGGCAGCCACTCGAGAACCTTCCTTCCCCATCGGTTGTCGGTTCTACGAGCCATATGGCCGGCCCATTGTCACTTTAGCTTACTAATCCGTTGTGCTATGTCGGTCACTCTGATTCGACTGCAGATATCCTCATTTCTAAGTTTATCTCACAAAGAAACCCTGAGCAGCCATAGCTCGAAATAACCGGTGAAGTGCGAGTCGGACGCTCGTATGAATGATTCCGTACTATCGTAATGCACGTTTCTAGTAGGGGAGCCCCTTTTAATTTTTAATATATTTAAATTTTTATTATTTGTTATTATAGCGGCAACAGAAATATACATTCTGTGAAAATTTCCTATTACGAATCATGATATACAGCCCGCTGACAGACAGACGGACGGACGGA